CACTATTCAAATTTCATAATATTCTACATATACTTTTTACGACTCGAACTACAAGCTCAATCCTTCGAAACTTCCTTCGGGAACTATTCGAAAAATACTTTTTGTGAAGATCATTTTATGTCTCAAAACTTTACATTTCTTATACTGCAGAGTAGCTTCAAGTTTCTAAAGATCGTCTCAAGAATGATCTGTACATAGCATTTAATACAGAAATGTACACCCCTGGATGATTTGAAGCTAACACACGACTTTATACAGACCACCATAATAACTTACACAAACTATTTGTCGGTATGCGTAACTCAACCATAATAAATCTCAAAATATTACAACATCATGTTGTTTGTTCCCTTGCGACAACTTTAGTGAACGCTGTCGGAAGGACAGTTGTATTCTTATACTCTGCGACGACAGCCTTGCAGTAACAGTGACTTGCAGAGATCGGTGTCAGGAAGCAATCGAATCTGAACTAAAGACATTTCATTACTGACCTAGTTCCGAATTTCTCATGTTAACCTCTAGGCGTGCTTAAAATCCAAAGATCACTTCGAAACTACTGCGACTATTCAGAAACATCAACATCGACCTTAATCCTGAGTCAAACGAGTAGAAATGACGACTCATGACAATTTCTTCTTGAGAAAAACAGTATTTGTAAGACATGTTTCCAGTGGCCGATATCTTTGCCTTCAGTCTGACCCTGTAAAACACCATTATCACTGCTCATGAAGAATAAGTAGGCCAACTAACTAAATGGAGCAAAGTCCTTCTTCAGAATTAAATAGAAAAGAAATACCCTCCCTTTTATGGAAGCCGAAGGTCCATCACCATGTTCACAAGATCCATCCACCAGTCCCTTATGCTGAGCTAAAAGAATCTCCACATCGAAGCTTAATTTCCCTATCCAGTTTAATAATATTATCCTCTCCTCTGTGCCTAGATCTTCCAAGTTGCCTCTTGACTTCATTTTTCCAATCAAAATGTACTCATTTCTCATATGTCCCACGCGCGCTACATTCCCCGCCCATCTAATCCTTGATTTGATCATCCTAATAATATTTGGTGAAGAACACAACTGTGGATATTTTCATTTGTCAAGTTTATGTAACAAACTGAAACAGCGATGAATGTTATGTGGTAAAGATAGCCGGTTTGTAGATTTTAACTACTCATACATAAGGGAATTTGCTGAGGCATTTTTGTCTACTGCTGTACCACATCATCTTGACCTCCTGTGTTTCCCATAGCAGATTGTAAGAAAGACCAGCTGTTGCACTGCCCTAGTCTCTGGGGAGGTTTCGTGAACCTCAGCAGATGGGCAAGAAACCTTTGTCTCTCAGTGGGGTGGGTTTTCTTAACCTCGACCATAACGGAGGAAGAACCTGGCGTATCCCTTGTAATAAAGCAACTGAAAACCTGGATTATATAGAACTGCACCAGACAGACAGACATCCAGCAAACTAATGCGATAACCTTGGTGATCTAGAGATAATACAATGACGATGAACACAGGGGATCGAGTAGGAGGAGAGACACAGCTCTTGTATGCGATGAAGTACCAGCCTAACTCCACAGTCCTTCAAAAACTGACACAGTCTCTCAGATAGCAAATAAATAATTCGCATTTTTAAAACCTGAATTTCATCAGTGTTCAGAACAGCCTACCACCAGTTAACCGGTTTTCATGAAACTTCGTACATATGTTATGCCACTGTGGGCCGCCCCAACCTCGTACTTTTCTTAATAGCAATATGGCGGACGCGCGAAATTTGAGATGGTCGCGACACTAGCACTGATTAATATTGGGTCCCAAAAAGAATATACAACTTTTGTTCAAAAAATGTAACACAGCGGCTGTGTAAAAAGTGTTTAGCTGGAACTCACTGCAATAACTAATCAAGAATTGGAGGGAAACAAGAGAAATCTGGTAAATATGTGGGTCATAAAGTGTCCTAAAATTACGTACCAATATGGCCTACGTTTTGTTAAGTCAACCACTACAAACATGGCAAAAGTGCAAATATTTGAGTTTATATTCGACTAAACATAGAATTTCTACTGAAATTATAATTATTTCTGTAACATATCTGCAATTTAAAACAGCAATAAAAGGGTAATCGAAGTCAGACAAAATCATAAGACCATCTGCACATTTGTCCAGAACGCTAATCTACGATTTTTTAATGTACTGTGCTATTGGGTTATAAACTTAAAACGCCTGAATGTAACACTATCAACACAAGATTCATAGGACTATAGGATAGCAGACTTGCGAGTTTCATCTGGGCAATAATTATCTTCCCAATTATACAGAGATCTCCTGCGTTGTCTCCTCTCTTCAAGTTTTCCGATTAAAATTTTGTGTTCGCTCCCAGGGCAGTTCACATGAAGGACAAAATGGCAAAGGGATAGGTCTCTACGAGTGCTTCGGTTAACGCTGTCAACATCACCCCATCGCTGCTCCATATTCACTCACATGTCAACTGGGGAATGCGCAAAGGGACCGTAAGAGGTCCAGTTCCACGCACAGTCCCACCGCATCACAACCAAAACAATAATGTCCAGTAAAACTTTTCGTTTCGAAATAAATTTATTACAGAAATAGCGTCTTATAAAGACGACGAAGACGCCATAAACTGTGCAACAATTCAAATCTTCAAACAACATGGCAGATCATAAAACTTCTAGCTCCGGAAATTCTAAACTATATTACTTGGAAATGACAACGTACCTACACTTACAGAACATAAAATCTATGCTACAAACCCATAAGAGAGCCATCTTCAACCAATTAACTTAACTGACTCTTTAGTAATATCATTCACATGTTTAATACGGCTTCCAAAATTCTCCCCTGGACAGAATTCACAGCTAGTTCACATCGCCACAACCTAGTTCATGATCTATTTCAATAAATCCTTTCATCTAATTCTCGATTTCCCACGTGGTGCTTTCAAAGTTGTAAAAACAATGTAACAGACTGGGGCCAACAAATGTATCAATTCAGTGGGACTGTAATTCTGCTCATCAGACATTTCCTCCACAAAGGGATGGAATTGCTCAGTACCGTACTTAACCAATACACCCATCCCTTATATGTCGGTTAACAACCTGTGGCAACTAACGACGCCAATAGCAGACGAGTGACAAAAGTAGCGGTCTCCAAATTGCACGCTTCAAGGCCGCGGGAGAACATCGCCTTCCATACCTCGCGATTCCAAAGTCGGTACGCTGAGCTCCGTTGTTCTTGTCCAAACACTCGAAACAAAGCGATGTATCATTTACACGATGATGAATAAAAACAGATTAATTCATTTCCCTCTAATCTTCTTCATACATGCCGACTTTCAAGCAAATCAATGCTGAGACAACAAGGGCCTTCATACCTCAACATTTACAAATTTACTGTTCGACGCCTGTGGAAAAAGACAAAAGAGAGCGGTAGTAAATACTGACAAATGAAATCATCGGCTTTGATTTTTAACTCGTCACGGACGAGCAAACGACAAGGTTTGTTGACCGATTCATTATTTTGCGATTCTGAACTGAACAAATTACTGCGTGATAGATATCTCCATTTCTTAGGCCGACGTAACGCGTTTACATGCAACTCAGATTCCACCGGACATTATACGACTTATTTTCAAGCACGTGTTACAACAGGCCGTGTAAACAGTGACTTGTTTCACAGTTTTACTGCTTCACGTGGTTCTGCGCAATAAACAGGGTTTATAGGATGTGGAATGTCAATATCAACACATATACTGCCGATTGACAGTTTAGAACTGGCACTTCTTGGTCTCAGGTTTGCATAAATGGGCCTAGACGTCAGAAATCAATTGGCTCATGACTGCCAGCCCAACCGCAGAGTTGCAAGGTTTTGCCAGAGTCAAATCTTGGAGTTCTCCGGTAGTAAAAAGTGAACCGATTTGGATTTTTCGTATGAACCTGAATATAAGCCTATAACAGGCCAGTTGCTGAAATAATAACCATCGCTGGCACAGATGTATGTACGCATGTATTTTTTTATTTATTTGTGGTTCATTTAACGGCGCTTTCAGCAGCTCAGACCACACAGCGTATAATTATATGACGACTAAAGAATAAAAGTTGGAAAATAATATGTAAGTTACGAAACCATTGTATAATTGAAATTACTATCGTGGTATTTGCCTGTAGGGACAAGTAAAAAATAAACACGTGTACATACATGCCTTTTCAAGTGACGTCTGTGTATGGACGCAAACCTACGTAGGTTCCTAGAAACAAATTTTTACCACTGATACAAGAATACGTGGACCAGTCCGGAAATGCATATAATGTGACGGGCGGGGTACACACATGCCACTGCTGCGAGAATGAATTTAATTCAAGTCCTGTTAGAACGTGCAAATATTCTCCGCACTGCCTCAGTCTCCCTAGCTCGCCAAATGCGTAGGAAGTTCCTATATTCTTGTTCAGAGAACTGAATCTAATAACACGACACGCATGGCCAACACTTCACACGACTGCAGCAGGAAAACCGTGTACCAATCGAACAGCAAACACCGAAATTGTTTTAAAATTTAAATCGAGATTTAACCGACGTCCAGTTACCATGGCCAACTGTCGTGAACAAGGCAATGAAACTTCATGTTCCATAAAAAGACGGGGAAATTCTTAACATAGACTCTAATAGGCGAAAACCTCAAATGAATATATGTAGTAAGAACACAAGAGGAGATGCATATGCCAGTTTGTTAGATAGGAAAGCGAAAGTAGTTTCTGATTTATTTCAATCGTCAAAATTGAGTAGGAGAAAGTGCAGAACAGAACACAACTAAACACATGCATACCTACACATATCTAGCCATCACTTCGCGAGGGCTCACAGGTTCGAATGTCAGGGTAATGAGGACAGATGTGTTGCCGGCTGAACGTCGCTAGATCGACTTTCGTAGATGCCCGGCTGTCCTAACGTACTATATAAGACTAGGCTTACCTCCAATAAAACCAGGAGACCACGCAAGAGATAATGGGGCATCCACATCCCAACTACACAGACCGTGTTCGCCACACGGGGGGTGGGGGGTGGACCAGAACATTCTGGAAATGCATCAATCCACAGCCGTCGTCACCACTCAACATCCCCTAAAATCAAGAGGTCCTCTTGTTAGCTGGGAACTCTCGCAATTATCAACCCAGCAACGACAATTATCCTGAAACCACACGACAAGGCGCCCAACGACAACACCCAGAACTTCAACCCGCGACATCGCTCCAAAGGAATCAACTGCTGGAGCTGGGACTGTACGTAAGTAGCTCAGAGGCCCGTTGTCACACACACATGGACATCCAATCTCACACGGGAAACATCGCCTCTGGATCACGCAGAGCCCACACAACAAAAGAATTCCCAATGGACTCTGAATGTATTAAATTGTAAATTCTGCTAACTTGTGTGAAGGAGGGTGGAAAAAATTGCGTAATGAGGTTAATGTTGTGCAATCTTAATCTAGGAGAATGTTTTGGGCGGGATGTAGCCCTCATGGGGTATATAAAAAGTGCGTATAAAAATTTTGCTGCAAAGCCAGAGGTGAAGAGATCACTGAGAAGACCAAATCGTAGGCGGGAGGATAATTTACAATAGCTCTTAGGGGGAAAAAAGTTGGAGGGTATGAATTGGATTCAAATGGATCAAAATAGGGGTCATTGGTGGGCTCTTATGAACACGGCAATGAAGATTCTAGTTCGTAAAAGGTAAATAATTTGACAAGCAGAGCGAACTATTAACTCCTGGAAGAAGGATTCTGGTCCATGGAGCTGGTTATAGCCTATATTCCGCTCTTTGTGTTTTATACCACTGTTTCAGGTCCTACTGTTGTGTATTCTCAGCAGAAATCGTATTTCAAACTTCGCGTTGTAACCTCCACGTGGAAATACCATACGATTCAACAGAAGATACACCAGGTGTCTACACATTTAAACGCCACTTAAAAGGACAAGAAGATATAGCCTTGTACACACGTTCGCCACATGAATTGCGGATTTATTTAGGAAGAGCTCTTCAAAGTGTCCCACCGACACAGCAGTGTGTAATCGATTATGCCAGCGCTCAACTTCGAACAATGGTAAATGTGCCCAGAGTTTTCCCTGAACGAACCCACGCATGCAAACGCACATGCTGTGTATCGATTACTCTCGGTAGGTCGCTTTGTGCGTGCCAGCAGTGAAGTGTTTCTCCTGGGGGCTTCCGTCTGTAGCAGAGCGAGCTCAGCTTTAACGCAGATTGCATGTGCATCGCCACAGATTCAAAGCCCGAACGAGTTTCATTTATCGTACTCCAGTCACAATGATTTCGGTCATATTTTTAAAGCGTTGTATTAATTTTACGGGCTCTGAGCTATGGCGAAATTTTATCAACCTCCTAGAATGAATCCCCCCTCCCGGTTCAAACTCTCCTATAGTTTTTACAGAAGCTACCATACATCAGTCTCTGACAGGCATGTGTAGCTGCCTGCTTTACTACACATATCACGTTTACATCATTTAATGAATTTGGAAAGCAAAGCCTCAAAGAAAATATTTCAAAGGCACACACAGTTTTAATTTATGCATTAGAATATAAGAAAGAACATAAGGACTGGACAAATACCAAAAACAGGTAGATCCTGCCTTCAGGCTGAAACGTGGCCCACATATTGGTTAACAATAACAAAGTTACGTATACAAATATACCATTACTCTTGAAAAAAGATGCATATATTGAGCGCTTAACAGGAAAATCGTATGTCTGTCCAAAGACGTACGAATACAATATTGATCCAGATCTGTCTTTTCACAAGGAGCAACAATTATTTGGAAGAGTTTGTAATATGTCTAATATTTAGCAAAATATATAAATAATGTCTTAATCGTATACAATGTACATTCAGTCTGATTAGTTTTGCAAAATATTTGTATCTGCACTAAATAAATATGATAACAATGAGGCATAGAAAGAACACTCCTGCAAATGGGTTATGTGTTCTTCCAGCTGAAGTCTTAACTGCACACTTCTAATCGTTATTGTATGACATCTCAAAATTGTATAAACATTCTGTCAGGGGGCATCAGTAGCGAATTATGTCGCATGTCACGTGATTTGCTGATATACCTACTGATACGGGTCTCAGAGGACAATGGTTTTCTCGAATCGATTATTCTACGTCTTCAGTGATAAGTAATCAAACCAAGATGGCTGTGGTCTAGGTTGTTGCGCCATGTAATCTGGCAGAAGTTTACCGATGTTTCAGAGGTCCTTGCTGCCTCCATAATCGGATGACGACCGTTATCATTACACCAACAGCTCGGTCGACGAGATGGAAACCTCTGTATCGCCAACAAAGTCACAAATAATATACGACAACGTTGCCCCCTCGAAAATTTAACTTTTACGTAACAATAAAGTCAGCAAATAGTTTCTGAGTATTTGCCACAGACACGTGCAGCAGTAGACGCTCACGTGAGCTTCAAACAGTTGGGGTGACGTAAACCACCTCTACTGGGTCGAAGTGTATAGATCGATTTGGTTACAGAGTTACTTGTGACTTGTATTACAGCTCCTAGTTTCAAGAATTCTCCGAATTCATACAGAAGCCAATTCCTGTTGATAATATAACTTAATGCTTAGGTTTACCATACTGAACACAAGCGATTAACTTCTATTTTAGACTTGCACTCCTATGAAAGAAATTAACTGTTCTTCGCTTAGGTAGTTAAAAATATAACAGCTGATGTTGACTGAATAACAGTAAAAACTATTAAACCTCAGGCTGTTGGCATAATGTATTTTAAGGTTCAGAAGTTTTAAACCTACAAGGTTGTAATTCATTCACCCTAAAATTTGCCTAGTGCATGTCTTCATAACGTCACAAGGCAACATTCGCGTGTCTAATTACAAAATTCATTTGCAATAACAAATATTTATTTCTCGTAATCGTCTAATGATTATTTTCCACGTTCCTACAAAATTTCCATGAGTCCATGTTTTTCAGAAACTTTATCATGATACAAATTCTAAAGATCTTACATTCAACTCCACAAATGTTGATCTTACTTCACAAGTTCGCACTTTCGCCTCGTCGAAGAATCAAAATAGTACGACGCTCAGTTATATAACTGGGGCGTCTGTATTTATTTATAAGTTTTACATTTCACGACCAGGAATCAGTGAGATGAAAATGAATACAATCTCACAATCCTGAATGGACCAGTCTCACATTAGTTCAGTTCAAACTTCGATTCCGACCGGCATGAAACCTTCTCCATGAATGGATTGGACTGTACAACAGCTTTTGATATCTTTTGTTATTATAATTTCTTTTGATGCAGAGGGAAAGGACAAGCCTATCTAAAGCG